CGGGCGGGCGGCGGTGGGCTGCGGTGTGCGGGGCCGAGTTCGCCGTCGGCAGAGGCGGCCTGGGGAAGGGTCGCGCCGTCCTCCTGGGCAGACCCGGCCGCGGTGTTCGCCCGGCGCGCTCGCTCGCAGACCCGCTTCTCAGCCTTAGACCGGAGGGGAACGACCCCGAAGCCAAGGGGCTGGGGTCACAGCGGCGCGTCTGGGCCGCTCCTTCTGATGTTACACGCGTAGAACATGCCCTTGTTACTAAAGCGTCGGCTGGCCTAGGGCGCTTTAGAAACGGACAGCCCATCTTGGCAGCTTCGGTTGAGTGTCTTGAGGAAGTAAATTCTGTAGGAGTGAATTACTGCAGAGCGCTGTTCTTACATTGCACTTGCAGAGGATCCAGCTCTGTGCGAGAAATGACCAAGTAAGCTGTTCAGTTATTTTTTCTTTGTATTACGAGAGAAACAGTAGCCGGAGAGTGGGGTGACCTGGCACTGAGCCCCCCAGTAGCACCCCTATCCTGGGGTAGGGGAGTAATACCTTTCACTTCGGGGAACAAGGTTTATCGTAATTCGATAAATGCCCCATCTGCCCAGAGGTGTGTGGGGTCAGCGGCAGAGTTGGCGCTGAAGGGTGCTGCACCCGGTCGCGATGCGACGACTTCCCCAAGTGACTCGGAGACCTTCGGCCACTGTGTGTGTGTGTGTGTGTGTGTGTGTGTGCGCGCGCGCGCGCGCGCAGTCTGTCACCCTACCTCAAGGAGTCACTGCTGTGGGAAGTGAGACCTGGTGACCTGGGGCTTATCCTAGCATTACAGGGTAGGAGGAAACCGGTATCAGCTCCAGAGGAGTTTTTCCCTTAGGCCGGGAGGCAGGAGCACAGCCCAGGAGACTAAATTGAGCAAGCTCCAGGTCTGAGGTCAGTTCTGCGACCCTGTGTTCTGGGCACTCTTAAACCCAGCCAATGCTGCGGGAGGCATATGGGATGTAGCCCACCTGGCTGGGGTGCAGGCAGAGAGGCCTTTTGGGGGAGGTCAAAGGTGGGCCTGAGCTTGCTTAGGAGAGGGACAGAGCTCCCATCACAGGGGAGAGTGTGCCCTAAGCGCAAAGCCAAGGACAGCAGGGAGAGCTGGTAGGAGGAGAGTGGGGATAAGGTCACCAGGCAAGACCAGCAGGGACCAGGGACAGATGATGCCAGGCAGGGGCCAAGGAAACCTTGTGTGGATGGATCCTCGGGACAGTTTCATCTCCAAAAGTATATTGGGATGAAATGTGAATTCAAAGCCCAACTCCAGCCACTGCCTGGGGAGTGGGTTTGAGGAGCTCCAGAAATAACAGGGCAGGGGCAGAGGGCCCGAGAGGCTGGGGCGACGGCGGGGAGGACACCTAGGAAGACTGGAGGCTGGCTCCAAAGTGACACAGGGACTGTTTGTGGAGAGAGAGTGTGCAGGGCATGCCCTCTGTTTGTGCTGCTGTTTACAGAAATGAGAGCTCTGGGGAGGGGCAGGTTTCAGGAGGAGACAAACTTGGTTTTGTTGGGTCTAAGCAGCTTTCTGGCTCCGGGCGAACCCCTTCCCAGGTGGCCAGATGGAGCGGTCTGGTAGATGGCGCCGTCTGTGTTAGGGGTGGTGTTTGAAGCCTGGGGCCCACAGGTGGGTGGGAGGAAGTAAAAGCGCCCCTGGCTGAGGACTGGTAGCTGCCTGCGGAGTGAGTGGCCTTTTTTAGGTGAGAGAGGCCTACCCATTATTAAATGCAAATGGGATGCCAAGGGTGGGAGGGGAAGTTACACATAGCAGATATCTGGAGCCCCCTCCTTTGGAGTATGAGGTAAAAAACACTTTGATACCAAACTCATATAGTAGGATGGCGGCCTCTCACGGGAGCAGTATCTTGAAGCACGCATGACTGTGCGATTAGAGTTTTAACTTGGTAGACCATGCAGATTTAATGTTTAGGGGAAGCACAGATGATAGTCACTCAGCAGAGCTTCAGCATGCAGAGAACGGCCCCTAGGGTGAGACAGCCCAGGTCCTGGTTCTTGGCCCTGTCGCTCAGCGTATGATCTGACACAAGTTGCCTGGCTGTTCTTAGTTTCTAGGTCTCTGAAATGGCATTGCAGCTGAAGAGTACATGCTCACCACTTGCTCATGGGCTGTTGTAAGGTTTACACATATGAGGTGGTTGAAATAGATGATAAATGTTCAAAATTTTTAAAAAAATGTTATAGGAAGATACTATCAATAGTCTTCCTCAAAACAGTCCCCCTCACTTCACACATACTCATCCCATGATCCTTGTTGTTTTTTGTTTTTGTTTGTTTTTGTTTTTGTTTTTGTTTTTGTTTTTGTCTTTTTGAGACAGGATCTCACTATGTAGCTCAGGCTGGCCTTGAGCTCACTTTGTAGCCCAGGCTGGTCTCAAACTCACAGTAATCCTCCTACCTCGGCCTCCCGAGTGCTGGGATTACAGGCGTGCGCCACCACGACCGGCAGCCTTGGGGCTTTCTGAAGCAGTTCTGGAAGTCCTCTTTCATGAGTGTCTGTACAAGGTGTGACCCAGTAGAAGGGCAAGCTTGTAAAGTCATTCTGTTATTCACCAGATCTGGCACTGTGTGACCTCTGGCTCTTCCCCAAAGACAAATTGACCACGAAAGGTAAAAGTTTTGAGTGGATTCAGGACACTGAGGCAGCCACCGCAGTGCATCTAAAGCCATTCACAAGGGAGAACTTGGAGAACTGCTTTAGCAAACGGCAAGAACAATGGGGTCAGTGTGTTCAAATCATGGAGGAGTATTTTTGAGGGATATGCATAGCAATGTATCTTGTACTATAATTTAAAAATTCGAAGCAGTCACCATATTTATTGATCACACCTCAGGTGCAGTGTGCCTTGCACCCAACACACTGAGTGCTCAGAAGCCCTGCCCCTCCTGGTGCCCGTACAGTGCTGTCATGGTGTCCTGTCATGTACCTATCATTTCCAGTCCCAGCGTCTGATCCCCGGGGAATTCTGAGGTGTGTCCAAAGCCATTGAGGCAGAGTAGCAAGTGGAGGCCAGGCCTCCTCTCGCCTGACTTGCAGGCAGGGGCTTCTTATGCCTCACGTGTTAAGTGCTACTTGTGGAGTGCCCCACGAGATCAGCTTTAATAAAGGGCCAAGTGTGTCTGTTTGCTGAAGTGCAGTGAAGCGAAACGGATAGCATCAGCAACAACACTTCCAGACTTTACCCCAGCAGTTTCAAGATGTATGTTGGTGTTCATTTGCATTGCTTTGCATGTCATTTTATATGCATTCCCATATGGTGGTAATTTTCCTAGTAGGATATAAAGGCTGAAGATTCAAGTATAGGAGAAAAATGAAATCAATCGAGTTGAGTGTGACTGGGGATGTTGGGCTGATTGTGGGCTTTTGGGGTAAGGGATCCCTATTTACTATGTTGAAAAGGGGCTGGGGAGCCAGATATCATTTGATGAAAGCAGGTCACATCTTAATATGTTGTTGTAGTCAGGGTTTGCAAGGGAATAGATTTAATACAGGACATAATTTATAGGATTATTTTATAGCATTCACCCAAAGAGTCAAATGCAGAAGAGTGCAAACAATTTGTCCACAAACTAGAGACCCAGAAAATCCAGCTGAGGGCCTGGATCCCACAGCAGTGACCTACATGAGTCCTAGAACCCATGGCAGTGTCCCCCACAAGTCCAGCTGGAGACCGAGAGCCCACAACAATGTCTCATGCGAGTCTGCATTAAGGATCTGCACTGGGGTGGCCCAAAGGTCAGTGGTGGAAGCTAGAATTCTGTGCCAGCAGGATGAAGGATCTGTGCTAGCAGGCTGAGGGATCTGCACTGGAGCCAGGAAGCAATGCTCAAGGTAAGGACCAGAGCTCTCCCAAAAGGTACCACAGCCATTCTCAGCAACAGTGAGAAGCTGCTCCTGCAACAGTGAGAAGAACCTCGTCAGGAAACAATGAGAACAGCCACAGCCGAGTTCATCAGGAAAACCAGCGTGATAAGCTTTTCCGGGAGAATCAACAGTGCGCCATCTCCCCCTCTAGTTCTCCTTTTATGCTGTTAAGCAGCAATGGGAGAGGGGGGGCTTCCACACCCAGCACCACGCTGATTCAGTTCAGCTGGGTGTTACAAGTTAACCATTAGTTAATCCAGTGTCCTGAAGCTTGATGTGCTGAACAAACAGGAAATACTGGGAAAGAAGAGAAAAAGACTAGAAGGAAACATAAAATGCCAGAGAATGAAGAGCAACAGAAACAAGATTCTGCTTTATGAAGCTGAACTAACAAGAAATGCTAAGGGTCAGAAAGTAAAGGTTAAATTTCTGTTAAGCAGTATGAGATTTTAGAAAGAACGTAATCTTAAATACAAATGTGTGAGCCTTTAAAACCAATAAAATTCTCCTTAATTCAGATTTATTGGGGGACTTGCCATTGTGTCTTATAAAAATCTTAGGAATGCAGAGTATCAAAAAAAACTATAAATTTGTTATTTAGATCAGTGATGCTCAAACATGTGGCAGTTTCACCTGAGATTTGTTGGAAATGCAGATTCTAGCTGGGTGTGGTGTAATTCCAGCACTCTGGAAAGCAGAGATGGGAGAATCGCAAGTTCAAACCCCTCTTGGACAGTATAGTGACTCAGCAAAATAAAAGAAAATCCATCCAAAAATGTGTCAAAATAAAAGAAAAAGATGGGCATGTTGATCCATGACTGTAATCCCAGTACTCAGGAGGCTGAGGCAGGAGGATTGCTGTGAGTTTGAGGCCAGCCTAGGCTACATAGTGAGTTCAAGACCAACCTGAATGCACAGTCAGTGGTAACACTGACCCATGCTCCACAGATGCTGCTGTGAAGCCACGTTCCTCCATCTCACGTAAGTGAGTTAGGTTCTCGGGCCTAAGCGTGTGTCTTTGCACTTACTTTGTTGAATGTCATCTTACTAGATCCTAGTGCGGCACTGTCTGTTAGGGTCCTGTTTCTGTCAGCTCATCTGTAAGCCACGCCTCACCTTTGTGTCCCCTGCTGGTGCAGTTTCTCTGTGGTTAGAGGCCAGCCTCCCAGGTAGTTACCATGGTCCCTTTTGCAGTCCTCTGCAGTCACAGCAGAAGAACAGGAGTCACCAGGCCTAATGTCCTTGGCACTGGAGCTAGTTACCCAGAAGCCCTCCCTTGGGTAGCTTGTCTTCAAATTCTAGATGTAGCCGTGCATGGTAGCACACAAGTGTCATCTAGGGAGGCTGAGGCAGGAGGAGCGCCACAAGTTGGAAGCCAGCCTGGGCTACATAGTGAGTTGAAGGCCAGCCTAAACTACATAGTGAGACCCTCTAGATGTAGCCAGGAAACCAGGTTATCTAATTTTTTTAAATGTAAAATTTGTTAAATGTAAAATCTCTGTTCATACACGATTCTTAAAGGAGCACAAAAAGGTGTGAAGGGCAAAAAGCAAAACAACTTTATGACAAGAATGCTTTTAGCAAGGTCACCAGAGCAGGAAGAAGTGGCTGGCTCCTGCACTCTCGCTGCAGGGGCTTTCTCCAGTCCCAGCCCCGCCTCCTGCAGGGCTGCTCCCTGTGTAAACCAAACCTCAGGATCCCAAACCCAAGCTTATTTTCCTCCTCCTTACTATGCTGCTGGAGCTGGGAATTGAACCCAGGGCCCTGTGTATGCCGGTCATGGGCTCTACCACTAAGCCACGCCCCCAGTCTGTCCCTTAGCACAGTACTATGAAAGGAAGAAAAGTGGCTGGGGGTAATGCAGTTCTCCAAAATGGAGGCACATTTCATCTTTATCCTCTTAGGGTTTTTTGGCCAGACCCGAGAGTTGAACTAACGTAAGGGAGATAACAGAAAAGCATGCAGATGAATTTGATATGTGTCTTACGTGACAGGGAAGCTGAGGGTTGGC